CCTGGAATTTAGGCCCTGTGATATGTGCATGTGTGATCCTACACCACCAAGACGCATTGCGATCTGATCACTGAAACAACTTGCTGAGGTGGTCTTAGAAACACTTGACTACATATATTTTGTAGCTTAAAAACTAATGTGTCCTGACAAGTACATGTAGAAAACTGAACAAATTTTAAGTTTGTAGTTCATAAAAAGTTACATTGATCAGGCATAACGTGCCTGAAGTCAGGACCTATATTTAAGTTCAATGAATGAGCCATTGTATTGTGATCTGTTGCCTCTCTAAGTGATAGTGCTTTGAGTTGCAATGCCAGTGCCGTTCAGCCATACAGCCGGATCACCCACTCTGCTTGCCTTTTTCAGTGCTGTGTACCTCAAACACGTGTTGGACATTGAGCAGTTCTCAGCTGTTAGAGGAGTAAACCTGGACCCCGCTGACAATTACTTCTACCACAAGTATGTCACGGGTAGTGTCTCCATCCCCTGGCAAAATGAGGTACTGCACCTTCCATAAAAACTGGTTAAAGTCTCTATAATGATAGTGTTGTTTTCTTCATGGTTTTACAGAATAGTGGATAGCTCATGGTTTCCTTTTTGCACTGAGTGAAAAACAGTGTTTTGGGAGGTCAGGGATCTTGGGTAGGTTTGATCAATCGATCACTTGACCACTGCTGTGGCACACAGACTTGGGGACATTGTTTAAGTTAATTCATAGTGCTTTAGTTGATGATGTTCTTTATATCAAATGAATCCTTCTCATGTTACAGACTTGCATCATAGTAAAGTTTACTTAATGTTACTAATATCTGTGTGTAGTTGTTTGTCTATGTTTATATTAACTGGACTTTGGAATTATATACATACAGTATACCTGACTGCTCTTTTGTGTAGTCAATAGATCTGAGACCAGTTCCTTCCAGTGTGTTCCTCTGTTTTTACCGGTGCCAGCATTCTGGATATTACCATTTGCTCACGGTGTCCAGAACTGTCAGGGCATTGTAGTTCACCCAGCCTATGGCATTGTAGTTCACCCAGCCTATGGCATTGTAGTTCACCCAGCCTATGATGTACTGTTCTCGTGTTGCGCAACCCAGCCTTCTGATGGTCACAGATGATTGAGACGGTGTGCCTTAAAGAGATCAACATGTTTGAGACAGATGGCGGCCTCAGTCCCGACCTGGACCTCAACTGGGCCGACCCACTAGCCAAGAGGGGTCTCTTCCACAGGATCTTTAGGAGGGAGGTTGTTGGGTGCTTCTGTTGGTGGGGAGACTGAATGAATGTGACCATGGTAGAACCAGGTCAGTAAGTTCTTATGATCTTCTGGCAACTGGCTTCAGGTTCTTCAGACTGGTTGCTCTCTCTTTAAGGTCACATGACCTGTTGTCTTGTCTTTCCTAGATTTGCTTCAAGAGTGGCAATAATGAAGAGACTCTATCCTGAATATATATATATATATATATATATATATATATAATCACTAAAAGGCTATATTTTCCAATTAGCCACATAAGTACCACTTGAATTCAGACTTTGCTTTTATTTCAACCACTTTTGAACTGTTTTTTTTTTTTTTTTGGTTGGTTGGTTGGTTTTTTTTATAAGCACGGTATGTTTTTTAAAGTACCATATGGCTTGTCAGTTTATTTTTGTATATCTTGGCCATTACATCTTGTCAGTTGTGACAGCCAGTTGGCTGGATGAAGGACCTTGCTGCCCAATCAGCCCTTGCCACTGTTTCCGTGACGACGCCGTTCAAACACCTTAAATGGCATCTGTGTAGCTTATCTCTGCCTCATGCACCATCCCTGGAGAGCTTCCTTTCCAGTACCAGACACTTATTTATTTTCTGGAAGGAAAACATGTCCTAAATTTTTTAAGTGTATTTTAAATTAAGAACCTCATGCTTAGCAATGTGATTTTAAAATGAATGCTCATTTAAATAAATGGCAGACCAGTTCTTGCCTCTGAACATTTCAATATGTGCTATGTAGGGGGGTAGCAGATTGGGAATCTTGGGTGCTGACATTTCACTGCTAATTGGGTGTACCTCTGCTTAAGAAAATAAACAGAAGAAATGATCCTGGCATATACTAGTATGTAAGTTATACAATGACACTGGTCCTGTGGCGGGTTGTCCCCCTCCTTGTGCCCATAGCCTCCAGGATAATATCTGGACCCCCTGTGACCCTGAATAAGTGGTTTCAGAAAATGGATGGATGGATGGAAGGATGGGTGGATGGATGGATAAATGATCACACTGCTGTGTTTTCTTTACTTTTATCCCTTTCATGTGAAAGTATGGATAGGTGTTTTTTGAACTAGAACAATGTGGTGCTTTTGGTATAAGAGATGATTTGTAACGTGATTTCATCAGGCATATTTAAAGCACGTCTGAAACCAGGCTTCCTGTTTATACGGGTCCAATGATTGTGCTTCTTGTTCTGAAGGTATCGTGACATCAAAGGCTGTTAGACATGAAGGCACACTCATCTGCCTGCAAAACAAGGCTTATTCAGGACAGATAAATTCCGCTATTGAAGTATTTTACCTCAGTCAAAGAATCTGTCCCTGAAATGGGAGCTTAAATGATGCAAAAGAAAATATGTCTAGGTCTATGGAAAGCCCATATCTTGGATTTGGTTGGCAGTTAAAAATGTATGCTTGTTAGTTTATTATCCTCATAATAGAGATGTCAAAACAATTTATTGGCTTAAAGATATAGGGATTTTTCATTGATATGAATAGTCACATTAACTGCTGATTTATGTAAAGCCAATTTCAAAGAAATTACATAAAATAACATAACATAACACTTCCTCATATATCAGATCATTGAAGTACCATTATATAGCACTTAAGTTTGCTCATAAATACCTGAACATCAAAACATTTTCAAGTGAAACATAAATCACTGGCTTGAAATGTCGGGAGAGACTTTTATATCTGATGTTACATAATTTTAAGAACCATACGCATTGTTACAGCTCCAGTGTTGGAAGGTGGCTGAGTTCTGCTTCCGCCTTGTGTGTGGAGTTTGCATGGTCTCCAGATATCATGTGAACTTCCTCTGGGTACTTTGATCTACAACCTCAATCCAAAGACATGGGGCTGGGTTAACTGATGTTTTTAAATTGCCCATGCAAAATTCTTGCATGTGTGGCCCATCCAGGCTGCACCCCTCATATGTGTCCTTTGCTGCCCAGGATGAGCTCTGACCTGGAAGATGAACAAAACACTATATGCAGATTAGAGACAGACAAACGATGATCATGATTCAATCAAGCAGTGAAATAGGGGGGCTGCAGTGATGTGTTGAAGGGTGCCAGTCATTCTGCGTGGACCATTCCAGATTATGCTAATTCAGACGAATAATCAGTGTTCAGTCACCTATCAGTAACGCCTCTTCATTTCCACGAAGGCCTTGAACACTAGTGGACAAAATTGTGCAAATACCTAGCATTATTGGCATTACGCTTTAAAAATTACTACACGAGTATTGGCGGTAATGTTTATAAACAATCAAAGAATGTTACATATATCATATATTGGACGACTAAAAGTAACTGGAGCAACAGCTGAATAAAATTCTGCAATCTCTAAAAATTGGAAGTGTTTCTACAATTTTGGCCATAGTGGAAAATATTTCATACCCTTTCAAGCCATTTCAAAATGCAAAATTAAATAAGTATCATTAATTTGCGGATCGTGTTTCACAGTCTGTGATCCCATTGATATTCCGTGAGTGATTATCTCCTCCCCTCCCCCCCTCCACACCCGGACACACTGCCTTATGCTAAAAGCTTTTAAAATGTCACATATTGGACACACGCCTGGAACGACGACACGTCGCCTAGGCAACAAAATGCCCCGGTGTCTCGATCCACGACCGATCAAGCACTACATTTTGACTGCTGTCTGCATCGGCTTACTTTATTGGCTTTCAGCTAAAAGCTTTTTGCTGCAGAGCTAGAGAGAGAAAGATGTGTGTGGGGGGGGGGGGGGGGGAGTGAGAGAGCGAGTGCTCATAGATGGTTGCCAGGGCAACTTGACATCACCATGACGAACTTCCCCACTTAAAAGCTTTTAACCGGATCTCTCCACAGTCCCAGGCCCCATTTCTAGGCCTCCCAGCTGAGCCGTTAGGAAGAGCCTGGAAAAGTGGACCATAGCTGCTTTTGAGGCAGACAGGGAAAAGCTCCTCTTCCTTCATTTATCCTCTTCCTCAAAGCAAAGCAATCTGTTTCTGTACAACAAAACAGAGGTCTGTGTTTACAAACAAGATGGCCGCCGAGGACAACCTGGGTTTCATGCAGTCAGGTCAGAGCGAGAAGCACAGACGGGCCAGGAACTGGACAGACGCAGAAATGAAGGGCCTCGTCTACGTGTGGGAAGAGTTCATCACTGAGCTCCGGAAGGCCAAGAGGAACGCCAAGATCTACGAGAAGATGGCCAAGAGGTTCTTCGAGCTCACGGGCGAGCATCGCCACAGAGAGGAAATTAAGATGAAAATAACAAATATGACTTTCCAGTACAGGCAAGTGTAATAGTGACCATTACTGTGTGCAGCTGTAGGGCTTATTGGGGAGAGCTGCATTCAGAAGCTCCCCCTCCCAGTAGGACTGCGCTTTTATCATTCAAAGAGGGACATCAATGAATCAGACCTTATTGTATCTGCTCCAGACCCACAGGGGTCAGCCCATGCACCCATGAGTACGTGCAGATGTCGTTCATGTGCAGTACCTCTTGCTCTGTAATACTGTATTACAGGTTTTGATAGAGTCAGTGGAACAGCTGGATGGGGTGAAGCAGAACAGCTGTTTACATTCTGGGGGGTAAAATATGGTGTTTGGCTTTAATTACAGGTTTATAGCAAGCTAGCCAAATAGTATTGTGGATATGAGGTGTGTTTCTTGAATGCATCCTTTGTGTCCTATGTCCCATGATCCTAAACTTGTAACATAAGAATTTCACTGTTCCAAGGAACACGTGACAATAAAACTTGAAATCTGAAACTTGAAAGCATGTCTGGCAGATGCCTGCTGGCTGAGAAGACCGAAGATACAATCTTGTTACACGCCTTATTATGGAATGTCATGTGACCGTGCAAAGTCATGTGACAATGTTTTTATTCAAAGCATGCTGCCCTCTGCCTCCCTTAACAGGAAAATGAAGTGCATGACTAACGGCAGCACCCCGTCGCCTGAGTGGCCGTACTTCAGAGCCATCGACAGGATACTGTCCCAGGCCCTTGACTCGAATGGGCTGCCCAGCTGTGACCGCCAGCCAACACCACCGCTATCCACAGCCCGGCCTGAGTCCAAGTCTGTGCCCACCGAGCCCTCCCCCCCAGGTTTTATTCCAGAGTACACAGGATCTTCTGAGGAACAGGAGCCTCCAGAAGAGGGGGGGCATTCAGAGAGCTCAGCCAGCCTGCAGTCGCAGGAGTCCAGGTAATATCTGCAGATGCCGTTTTGCTTTGTTAGATATGTGTCCCTGTTAGGGTGCCTTCCCCAGTCCAGGTAATACCTGCATGAGGGTGTTCAGCCCTGTTACGTTGTGTGCCCTTGGTAGGGTGCCTACCCTCATCCAGGTAGCTTCTCTGTCAGCCTGAGTTAGGAGTCTCAGCACTTCCTCTGTGTTCTATTACCTGTGGCAGGTCACCTCAGGTGCCCATCAGGAGGAAGAAGATCCAGCGGCTGAGCCTGAAAAGGAGGAAGCTGCGTGTCCTGGAAGCCATGCTTCAGGAGCAGAGAAAGGCAGGCCGCAACCTGGAGGAGGTCTGCCGGGAGGTGCGGCGTGTCATGCACCAGCAGAACTTCCTGCAGGTACAAAGCCTGCAGCTCCAGGAGCGCATGATGAACCTCCTGGAGAAGATGATCTCGCCGCCCACACAGCTCCCGGCCTGGGTCTCTGCTGGAGCCAGGGAACCAGGGCCAGGCCAGGCCTGATCGTGTGGCATCACCCCACCCACAGGCACACAGACACACTTCATGACACTAAAATGTCACTTGATGCATGTACAACAGGCTTAAGTAGCAGTGAGATCTACAGAAATATCTAGACCAGTGTTCCCCAATCCGATCCTCTGGGACCCACAGTTGGTGGGTTCAGAACTTTGTTATTTTGACATTTCAGAACTTTGTCAGACCGACAATGGATATTTGCCTCTTGTGCTGAATATATGCACATATGTACCTGTCCAGCCACACATGCTTAATTCATCTCAGGCAATATGATAGCACTGTGATAATTAATATTAAACAAACTGCAACAAAAATGTCTTACAGCTCTTTGTTTTGTGTTTAATACAAAAATGTCTTTTTGTTTGTTCGTGGAATCATGTCTTAACCATACAGGTAAGCACACAGGATTAATTAATTATTACCACAGCTAAAAAATACCATAGACTAAAATTGAGGTGATCTTATAGCCTTGCCAAGAGGACTGAGACTGCTAGAATGTGGTTATTGCCATCTGTGCGCGGAGCCGGGGATTGATTCTTGTCCTGGGCTAACCTAAACAATGATTACTTTGATGTAAGAAGTACAATAGCAACCAAGATGTAGCAACTCTACAGGTCTGAGTAAGCCAAGCAGTGGGTTTTCCTCTGTGATCCTCATTTTGCATCAGTGCATTAAGAGCCGTCATAAATCCAATATGAGGGTGAGTGATGTCTTCCTCCAGGAGAGGGCAGTGTAGTGACATTTGCAGACACATCAAGATGCTCCTAATCTGGGTTTCTGGTTTCAGTGAAATAAAACAAACGTCATTCACATCCTACGCATGAGATAATCCTGAACAATGGCAATTGGACTGAGATTTAAATGTCAAAATAATTTCATTTCAGCTGCATGCAGAAATACATGGGCTGTTTATTTGCAATTAATGATAATTCATAATGTAATTACAGGTAATTATAGCTTGAGTAAGGAGCTCCACCCTGTTTTCCTGCTAATTCCAGCTCCAAAGGCTCTGCATTCCAAGGAATAGGATTCCCATCAAAGTCTCCTTCCTAGAAAGAAGAGACTTTTTTCATATGAATGGAGCCCCACCCTCTTGACAATTTGTTAATTAAGGTCATGGCTCATTGTCGACCTCCGAAGTCGTTTATATCAGACCTAGTGCAGACTGATATAATCCTGTGGACTGGGATTGTTGCTGGCTGGTTTGGTACCAACAGTGTTTGTGAGTCCGAAAGCTGCTTTTTGAGCAAAATAAAGTTTTCCCCAAAGCCTGGAAAGACGCATATGTGTGCTAGAGTTCTAAAAGTTAATAATGAAAATTAATAATTCAGTTTGTGCTTCCCTTTCAAACCTAAGTTCTTCAGGAGCACTCTGTCCCCCGATTCTAAGGCATGGAACCTTACCTTCCGATCATATGCCTTCTTGTTTCGGTTATGACTCTTATCAGCCGTTTCCACAGCTAACCTATATGCCTCTTTCAAGTCACTCCTCACCTTTGCAACATACTGAGAGTGAGAGACCTCATTATTTCCATCGGGTGAGGTGCCAAAACAAAGGATCAAATAGTATGGAGAGTACCCCATGGCATCACATCTAGTACTATTGTATACAAGGACCAAAGACCCAATATGCTGGCTCCAATTAAATTTTTTCTCAGTACCCAGCTTACCCAACATAGCGAAGAGAGTACGATTAAATCTCTCTGGCTGCGGGTCACCCTGTGGATGATAGGGTGTGGTCCTTGACTTGCGTATACCCATCATCCTCAACAACTCTTTGATTAATCGACTCTCAAAATCACGACCTTGGTCGGAGTGGATTCTGGCTGGGAGCCCATAATGAATAAAATACTTATTCACCAGAACTTGGGCCACACTAAGAGCTTTCTGATTTTTCGTAGGGAATGTCTGTGTGTAACGTGTAAAGTGATCAGTGACTCATGCCTTTTGAGTCCGGCTCCAGGGATAGAAAATCGATGCAAAGCAAATCGGACCACAATTTGATGTAGCGGAGCTGCCTTCTGACTTGGTTGTTTACGGGTGATGCACTCACCACAATTCTTGATGTATAATTCCACTGCTGCTGACAGCTTGGGCCAAAAAAACCTAGTCCTTAAAAGGTTGGCAACCCTCTCTACCCCTAGATGACCTAAATCGTCATGCAGTGCCCTGATTACCATCTCCCTGAATCTGGAAGGGAGTACCAACAGCAATTTCAGTCCGTGCGCGCGTAGTTACTCGATGTAGGAGCTCATCTTTGTTCACCAATCTGCCGGCTTCATGCTTTAGCAATTGCAACTCCAGGCTGATATCCATGTTACTCAGCCATTCTCCACTCATTACGGCCTTCAGGCTACCCCTACCACAGGGTCCTCCCGTTGAGCCTTTCTTAATTCCTCGACTGGAGGAATTGTCCTCGACTGGACATCAGCATCTATGTTGCACTTTCCAGGCCTATACTGGATATTGGATATAAGTGGAAAAAGCGGCAAGTCACCGGTGTTCAGTGGCATTCAGTTTCGCAGTGGCTAGCACATACACTAAAGGATTATTGTCGGTGCGTACGGTGAACATTGCCCCATACAAATAGTCACGAAATTTGTCCACAATGGACCATTTCAGCACCATGAACTCTGATGTATCGGATAATTACATTCAGCAGGGCTCAGCTTTCGGGTAGTGAATGCTACTGGCCTCAACCCCTCAGGCTAATCTTGATAGAGGACCTATCCCATTCAGGCTGGCGTCCACGTGGAGAACATATGGTTTGGTGGGATCCGCAAAAGCCAACATGGGAGCATTCGTAAGACAACGAATGACCTGGTGAAAGGCATCCGTGCAGGACTGGTCCCAACAATCCCCGAATGGTTCAGACTCCCTGAAATACTCCACCGTCTTCCCCCTATAGACTGGCTCATAGCTCATAGACTGGGCCAAGATGGTTCGAGCTTAAAAGTGTTTGAAATGTAGTTTGTAGCCTGATTTCCGATGTACAGTAGTGTCATAAACAACTAAACCCAGTAAAGTTTGGGTATAAAACAAAACAAAAACTAAATAAAAAACTAAAAAAAAATGCACAGTCTGCAAGGAGCGGTCAGGAAGGCGTCCGGACATGGCCGCGCCATGATCAGACATAAAAATAGTGAAATGAGTTTTTCTTATTTATCCAACTGAATGTTTCAACTACGCCATTTAGTCATCTTCAAGACTTTGGTGATCAGATATCTGGGATCAAAACAAATTGGCATCATTGCTTACTATTGTTAAGATCGCCCAGCGGGCAGGAAGGCAGCAAAGCCGTGAAGTCGGTAATAGGGGTTTATTGGCACAAACGGGGCTGACAGCGACAAACATCAATGACCGATCTGGGGAACATTAACTAAGACGCAGACTAAATACACAAGACACGCAGAAAATAACAGGTAACAGGTGATCACAATCAGGGTAGTACACGTAGGTAATGAGGAGACGTGGCACACATGAGGATCGGACAACAGGTCATGACAGAACCCCCCCCAAAAGGCGCACACTCCGGGCGCGCCTCAGGGGAGGCGACGAAGGAGATGAGACCCGGGAAACACAACCTGAAAAACAAGAGCAAAAACATTAACAAGGGACCGGGAACAGAACAGAAACACAGAACAAGCATAAGGGCAGAAACCAGGACAGAATCCGACACAGAACGGGAAACGCAGACAGACAGACCAGGAAGGGAGACACAGGGGGAACGCCGACAGGTGGAACAAAAGGGCCAGGAGTGAACGGAGGAACCAGAGGGGGACGAGGAGCAAAGACAGGAGGGACAAAGGCAAAGGGAGGAGGGACCAGGGGAGCCCGAGGGAACCCCAGCGGGCGAAAGGCGGCAGCCAGAGGAGTCGCGGGCGACTGAGCGGCCGAAGCCCGGGGGCCCCCGGGCGACCGCGAGGCAGGAGCCGAAGGGGACAATGACGGGGCAGAGGAGGAAGCTGAAGGGACCACCGGAGGAGCAGAGGAGGAAGCAAGAGGGGGCACCAGCAAAGGCGAGGAGGGAGCAGAAGGGGACCCCAGGGAAGGCATAGAGGGAGTGGAAGCCGCAGCAAGTGACGGCAAAGCCGGAGCAGGCGGAGGCACCGTCCACCACTGAGCCAGAGTGGGGCGACCCGCAGGCGAGCGACGAGTCGCAGCGGGGGAACTCGTAGGCGGCCGCCGAGGCGGCAGAGGTGGGACCGCAGGTGGCCGGCGAGGGACCCTCAGGCGACAGCTGAGCAGGAGCCCGGGGGACCACAGGCAAGCTGGGGGGCAGGGCGGGCGGGACCCGACCCCTGCGCCTATGTCCTCGCCATTTCCGGGACACCGACAGGTGGGATTCCAGTCGGGAATGACTGCGCCGGGGTGAGGGAAGAGGAGTCAATAAGGAGGTCCCCGAGGGGTCCCACTCTAGCTACTCCTCCTCTAAGGAGGAAGGAGTGGTGGTCAGATAGTCTGGGACCTTCTCGGGGACTGGGACCAGTGCTGGGGCAACTGGAGCAGGAATTGGGACAGGTAGAGACTGGGCCGGATCATCAGGCGAAGGCGGAGCCTGGACCTCAGGAGCAGATAGAGCCGGAGCAGGAGCCAGGGCCTCGGGTGAAGCTGTAGCAGGGACCACGGGTGTAGCCGGGACTTCTGGCGTGGGCGGAGCTGCAGGTGGGGCCGGGACCTCAGGCAGAGCGGCAGGTGGTGCCACAGGCGGAGCGTTGGGCGCGGGCGGAGCGTCGAGCACAACAGGATCATTTTACCGACTCGGACCTTTGAGTCTCGTTCAGCAAAATGAACGAATCTTTTTTCGAGTCATTTCTTTCATTTTAGCAAAATATAATTTAAATGTTACCTGTTACCTCCCTAACACATCTACTGCTTACACAAATGTTGATCACACTACAAACAAGACAAAA